TAAAGCTGCAGTAGTTAACTTTTATACTTTGTCATATTTGCTGATACTTTCACTATATCCTGACGATAGTACATGGGACAGACAATCCTAAAAATAATTATGATGATTAATAATAATCCTAAATCCTAATGGCATTTGCAAGAATCCAACGGGCCTGAACAAAAACAGGAAATCAGAGCAAAGAAAGATATAAAAACAATTTGGGTTGGAGGCTTATAGATAGTTGATTGTTGAGTCTCATTTCCAGGGTCGGTATTTGACAAGCTAGGGATGAGACTCAACAATAAACGATGTTTCTCAGTTCTGATTGGTTTGGTTGTTTTTGTTCAGGTCTAGTGGATTCTTACGAATGCCATTAGGAGCACTAGAAGGAGCCAGAAGAGCTTGATTTTTCACAGATTATCTGTCTCATGTTCTACTGTCAGGATATAGTGAAAGTTTATGCAAATACGACAAAAAGTTTGCTTTAGTTTAGCTTTAATGTGAATCGCTACTTGGTGGTACAGACATAATTCAGTCGGTACCCTTAAAAGTACAGAGTTCAGTACCCAACCCTAGTAAGGGCTTTGATTACTATAGAGCTTTCTAGGCCCAAATAGTGATACATGACGGGATCCTAATGTAAACAATTATCATTGTTCAAACTGCAACATATTAGAAACAGTACTTAAAAATCTAGATATAAATATAGATAACATTTTTCCTTTTCAAAACAAAATATTTTAGAATAGTTCTATTAACAGTATAAACAATAGTAAAGTATTTATTCAAAAAGATATTTTTCAATTGATGTTCTATTGCACAAGTAAGACACAAAATGTCACAAATTGTTGTGTGCCATGTGCTACTCCTGTTATAGAGAGTTCTTGTGGGTTTTTAATTGTTGTATTATGAATTTATAACCATGAGTAAGAAGGGTGTTAATAGTGAATGATTTCCAACAGTTACTTTACATGAGATAATACAGAGGAAATACGTGATGAGAACATTGAGGTGAAAACTGAGAATCGTGAGACTGACAATATTGAATAAAACTCAATAAGGATATGCATGTTAAAATTAGCATTTTTGTCTATGGAGTCTGGTGCAATATTATAGCTGGTATGGCTGTTTCTGGTTTAACAAAAGGTCTATCTCTGTAGGGATCCTTTCCATTACATGGCAGCCATTTTAAACCTAACTTGGTGAATTTAGGGTTTATTTCAACTTCATTCTGTTGGAAACAAATTTGGTTTTGTGAGTTCTATTTTGTTTCTATACAGTGTGTTTTACAGTTATCTGCTAGGTAAAATTACTGCTTTTTTCAACAGAGTCTGGCCGGCCGTGGTGCCCATTGTTTTGGTCTGGTGCTCTAATGCGACATCTAGTGGCAGTGAATTTCTCCTGTTTGTTTTCCAAACAAATAATTGTTTGCTAGCACGCCCCAATGGGACGGCAGTAGCTCAGTGTGTAGGGACTTTGCTTGGGAACCGGAGGGTCGCCGGTTCAAGTCCCACAACCCCAAGAAACTGCTCATGGGCGCTGCTAACGGGCAGCCCATCACTACACCATCTCTCTCCCTGTTTGTATGTCCACAAGTGCATGAAGTGTGCATTTCAGCGTGTGTGTGTGTGTGTGTGTGTGTGTGTGTTTGTGTAAGAGTGTAAGAATAAAAAAATAAAAAAAAGAGCGAAAAGAAGAATTTCCCCTAGGGGATCTATCTATCTAGATCAGATAGATGTGCTCACTTCTTGTTTCACTTCCAAATAATCCGATCACTTAAAAGTGAAGTATGAGCAGTTAGATGATCTCACCATGTTCCCAGATGTTATTAAATGGCCAGAGCCGAGAAAGTAAAACGTCAGATGCAATAAACCATAGTTTTTCATTTAATGAAGGGCATTCTACCCAATTGAGTGTGTGAAATTATCACAGTATGACTGCTGCTATGATCCATGTCTACAAACCAACTAATTAGAATGAGGTTTGTGGTTTGTACATACCAGGGATGTGCTGGTGCTTTGTCACAGAAGCCTTCTCTCTGTCATCAGGTTTATCTCTCAACCCTCTCTCTTGCTCCTGTAGATGGGAGACTACCAGTAAGACCAGCCTTCCACCTTCTGCTGCCATGATGACCAGTCACTGCACGTTGTTGCCCGAAGTTTTGCCAAACCAGTGTCTATCGGCCCACCTGAACTGCCGGCCTGAGCTAGACTCTGAGGCCCTGTGCGGCTTCTCTAATGAGCCGCCTCTCCCAGGTAAAATCATGGAGGAGTGCAGCGTGTCAACCAGTGAGCAGCCTCGCTATTACCCACAGGTGACGTCTCCAGGGTTGGATGCATACACCAAACGATGGTAGGTCGTGGATGTATTTTAATTCTTTTTTTAAAATAATGTTTCAATCTGTGTCAATCTGAAGCAACGCTTCTGATAGCAGCTAACATTGCAGCTCCTCCTGGCTGAACACAATAACTAAAGCCATAAGGATCATTTGTTTCAGACTGAAATCATCCTTGGAGAAAAAAATTTTAATAGAAAGTTCACTGAAAGTGTTGATAGTGAAATTGAGTAAGAGACGTTATTGTGTGTAGGCATGGGATGTTACAACATTTCATGTCAGGATTATCTTGGCCAAAATAATTGCAATACACGGTATTATCACAATAATCATGAAAATGTACTTCATACTTTTAAAATTGCACTAAAACAAACTGGAATCACTTTAGCTTACATTTAATTTAGAAACACATTTATTGCATCCCAGATAGGAAGCTCATCTCCCTGTTCTTTATTCTGGAATCTGTACTGTTTCCACACATCCGGTTTAACGTTTTCTTTGTGGGGAATACAACGGGCATGCCGAGGTGAAAGGATTAGGATTTTGGAATGAATGGAAAGATGCTGGTTCCCTCTTGTCCCTTTGTTTAAAATAAATCAGAAAATCTATATAGGACTGTAAAGTGGAGAGCTAGACAGCTTTTTCCAAGTCAAACCATGTGAAGATATTCATGATTATGGAATTTCAGTGTTGTTTATGGCGATACATGATTATAACGTTTATGGTCCCATCCCTACATGCGTGTCTATGTTGGCAAACATGCAAATGAATTAATTATCTACACACAAATGACATGCCATTAGGATGCAGGTCCATATTAGGGGTGTAAGAAAATATTGAAATATTGCGATATTTTATTTTGTGATTAAACCCCCAACAGCTGATAGCAGTGCTTTAAATGTAAGCTGAGGGCTGTGATGTTGGATGTTACAGGGACAGTGAGAAATACAAATGCAGATGCCACTGTTCTGGTTGCATAAAGTAAACTTTATTTAACTCAGATCTTTTGCATGTGGTAGTGTGTTCTTGATACTGTGACAATTTTCCTAAAATTGCAGTATATGACCTGCTTACAGTATTGCAATATATCACAATATATTGATCGTATCGCCAGATTCTTGCCAATACACAGCCATAGTCCACATGTTTCAACTGATTAAGTTTCTTAGTGCTGCGTTGACATTCAGATGGTTTTTTATTTCAGATACAATCTACTTCAACACTGTACTTTTTATGTATAAACTCAGTGATAGGAATTTTGTGCTGCTTTGTTAGCTAGTAGACACTGCAGCTAACCTGTATCCACTTGTCAGTGAGTCCAGTCACCACATCGTCCGTTCGTCACATCGTCCACCTGACCCAGGCTAGCTGCTATGTAAAAATTAAGTGTGGTCTGAGATGTTGGTGCTCTAGTGCGACATCTTGTGGTAGTGAATTTCTCTCACAGCCTCAAACAAGCAATTGTTTGCTAGCACACTAGGCAACTCTACCTTCTATATACTGTGCTAACTGTACTATGTGTCTGATTTCATTGTGGATAAGATTTCTCTGGTGAGAACAGCAGCAGTCAGATAAACAAACCCTCAGCTTAGTCAAACTTATTTGGAAGAGAAAATGAACTTGAACTGTAAAAGTATTCCCCCACAGGTCCGTTGTAAGCATCCATCAAAGTTTACAACTTCCTGCTTCAACCTTGACCTACTGTACCAGCTGGGGTTGTGTGCACACAGTGTTCCTGTGCAACGAGAGAGCAATGAGGCATTATTTTGTGCTCACTTACAATTTCAATTCCACATAAACTTTTTTTTTTTAAAGTGATGTCACAATGTTCCCAGATCCCAGATGAAAATTTCTTTGAAAATTAAGAGGTCTTACTCCCACTATTTCCCTCAAATGTCAGCCATTAATCATTCCCTTCTTCTTTGGATTAGGCAGACTAAACACTACAATGGTGTATTGCTGCCACACTGTTTGTTATTAATATTCCATATATATTTTTTTTTAAAATGTCCGTAACAACATGAAACTCTAGAAACACAAGCTAAAGGGCGTCATATGTCGACAGTCTGACTGTGAATTTGTATCAGTATAATCCAAAAACTGTATTCTTTACCAACCTTACCTTTTGTCTCACAATGAAGGCTGAGTGAGTTGGCTGTATAAGTGGGAGAAGACCGTAGGAATGATAATTAATATTTTCAATTATTTTCAATAATTAATATTTCTCACTGAAATAGGTGCTGATAGGGTGGATTGCTGAATTGATTGTTGCTTCCTGTCTGGTGCTGGAGAAAGAGGCTATTTGTGTCTGCTTTCAACGTCTGTAACTCTGCATGGCTCCTCCAGTTGTTTCTGACACAACCAGGTATTTAGATGGTATTAGCTCGAATTTTTCTGCCGTTGACAAGACACGGGAGTGAGCGCCAATTTGCTTCTGACCTGTGGGCATTTGTCAGCAATCTCAGGGCTAAAATCATGCAGTGTGAACTCGACATTAGTGGCATCCAGGAGGACCTCTAGTGGTAGGCACTGGCCAGTTTTCATGTCATGGAGACCTTTGAGATGGAAGGCCTGACTCCTCCCAATGGCTCGACTTCCTGATAAACATGCATCTGCGCATCTTGAACAAAGGATGATTAGATGGTATATAAACCATAAATGACATTCACATGAAATGAAACCAAAACAAACAAACGAGTATCTTCTCATGGTTCTTCTCCTCCTCAGTGCCGTGCCAGAAAACCCCATGTGTCGTATCTGTCACGACAGCGGCACCCAGGAGGAGCTGCTGTCCCCCTGTGAATGCTCCGGGACCCTAGCCACCATCCACCGCAGCTGTCTGGAACACTGGCTGTCTGCCTCAGGAACCAGCTTCTGTGAGCTCTGCCACTACCAGTTCACTGTGCAGAGGAAGTCCAGGTCACTGCTCGAGGTACAGGGCGGTGAGGCCAGCTCCGGCATGAGAAAGATTCAGTCCAGTGATTCTTTGCATCACTGATCATTGATCTAGAGCCTGACTGTGCTTTCATTCTTCTTGGCGGTGTAGTGGCTGCAGAACCCAAGTCTTCGCCAGGAGAAGCGCACCCTGTTTGGTGACATGGTGTGTTTCCTGCTCATCACCCCTCTGGCCACCATCTCCGGGTGGCTCTGTGTGCGCGGCGCCATAGATCACCTTCAGTTCTCCAGCCGACTGGAGGCCATGGGGCTCATCGCGCTCACTGTTGCTCTCCTCACCATTTACCTCTTCTGGACCCTGGTTAGTATGCTGTTATAAATGTATGCAATGTTTATTACATCAGCCTGCCCAGCTATATATTTTGACACATTTTTAGAATGGCAGAGGTCATAGAGACAGTTTAACATCATCCAGTTTGAATCCCCAGACATGTCTTCTCTTGTTTAAATATTCAGCCAGTTTTGGTGGTTCTTTTTTTGTGCTTTTTTTCATAACCTACAGCAGTTTTAATTTCATATAATCTTCTTGCCAGTAGACATGCAATAGGCCTAAACTGCATTCATAAAGGTCTTAAAGCTCCAGTAGGTCATTTAAAAACCAAAAAAACTTTTGGTCATATTTGCTGAAACTCACTATATCCTGAATCCACCCGGCCCCGAACAAAAACGAGAAAGATAGTTGATTGTTGAGTCTCATTCCCAGCCTTGTTATTCAAGACCTTGGGAATGAGACTCAGCAATCAATTCTGGCTCTGATTGGTTGTTTTCATTCAGGCCTGGTGGATTCTTTTTTTTTTTGGGGGGGGTAAATCCCATTAGGGCCACTAGGAGGAGCCAGAGGAACCTGATTGTTTCACAGATTATCCTGTCTCATGTACAGCTGTAATGGATATAGTGAAAGTTCAGGCAAATATGAAACAAAAGGGTTATTTTTAGATAAGTTACCTACTGCAGCTTTAAAAAAGTCCTAAAATGAAAGTGAAATCCAAATGTACCTGTCTTCCTCCCCCAGGTTCTCTCAGATATCACTGTCGAACTGTACAACGGTGGCGAGCAGTCCAATCAGAGAGTAGTCCTCCATCCTCCCGAGGTGCCACAGCGAGGCGTCAGCGCTGCACTCCTTTACAGGCTCACAGCGAGGAAACAGCCGTTCCCAAAAAAAGGTCCAATAGTCTGAGTGCAGAGCTGGCCTGGAACCGGCTCTAAAATCAGTGGGTGGAATCCTTCATCTTCTGCTCCTCTTTGAACTGTTTTAAAGCCACCGTGCAATGTGTAACGGCCACAGGTCGCAAGCCATGCACTTTATTCTCAGAGACCATTGTGAACAAAGTAAATGACTGGCCTCACCTGGACACGGGATGCTGTCAGCCTGTTAAACGTCCAGCGGTTTTGGTGACCAGAAATGACACAATAAGGCTGACACTGTGATGTTAACTTGCAGAGCACCACACTCTTGATGATCAATCAGATATTTTTACAATGGATGAAGCATTATGCTCCACTGTAGGCACCTTCTTCAAAACAACAAAGACATTCTTGATTTCAGCAGCAACAATGCAAGACACATGGATAAAGAACTTTGCTGTGAAGTTGTGTTAAAACTGGTAATCTGCGTGACAGTCATGTGCCTCAGTCGAAATTAAACAGCCTTAAAGTCCTCTCCTGGTGCAAGGTTAACCGCTACATCCAATCTGAAAGTCTATTAAGTAGGCCAATGACAAATTTGTTGATTGATGATTGATTGATAGGGAACACACTTAAACCAAAAGGCTATTTTTGTATTTTGAAACATTTTGTTGTTTGGGTAAATGGTTTTCATGTTTGCGTGTTGATGTAGATCAATAAAATTCACTGTTCAATTTAATTTGTTATATGAAGGTTTTCACTTATTTAACATGAATCTAATTTTCCATCATTAGCTTTTCCCATCATAAGAACTTTCCAAAGTAAATGCAACAGCTCAGCGATGTATTGGAGAGACAAGAATGTGCTCTTGGATTAATGATTGGCGGCAGAAGAATTTAAAGGATCGGGCAATGTCAAAACCCAGTGGTGTGAACATTTTAACACCGTTTAAGGATGTTAAAGATTAACCAAGTGTTTCCAACCAGTGTTTGTGCGCCCCACAGTCTTGTCCAGATGAACTCCTTTAATCAACCACCCACCAATATCTTCCAAATGTGTCAATTAAACACTAATTTCGACTATTGATATGTGAATATTCCCATGGTGCACTGAGCCTCCCTATCTCCGCTCCTCGTGCACCTCATAACTTTTACTGGAAAAATTATAAATCTTTTACTAATTAAGGCGTTTTTCTAAACGCATTTATTCCCATTTATAGATGAATTTTTCTTTCCAATCAATTTATCCATTTTCGCATAAACTTTTTCAACCAATTTAAAACGCGGGGGGGGGTCTTGTAAACGCTAAGGTATGTGGGAAGGGTAAGACGAGTCATAAACGTCCAGGTGGTGACGCGAGTAAAAGGCCCAGGGGGGGACTAAAAAAAGCAGTTCAGCACGCTGATCAACCCCCAGGGCTCCGAAAAGTCCAAAGGAGTCTGGGATGAAAAACGGAAGTGTAGGGGGGACGTCGGTGATAAGACTGCTTCACCATTCAACGTGCACCAGGGAAA